TCTTCATCGTTTAGAGCTTGTTTCAAAGCTCTGTGAAGCAGGTTTCATCCCTACCGTCTGTCCAAGAGCTTCAATTAAACCCACAGCTAAACCCAACTCACACACACTTGGAGAACAGCATGTGCACAAAGACGAGCAGATGTTTTTTATATGGTTTAGATGCTAAGTTTTGTAATTGAACAGAATCAGCATAAACATCTGCTGGTCGGTTCTACTTGGGTAAACGAGGGCTGGTTTCGCTGGTGAAATGCATCCGTATGGTCCAGAGACGGTTCTACAGACAGACTGAATGGATGCAGCTCCAGGTCTATGGGTATGTCTGTAGCCCTCTGACAGGCTTCACTGTTGGTCGTGTGGCGGTCGCGGCTACCGCCCCCGAACACGTGCACGATAATCGTTTCTAAAATAAGCACCACGTCTTTAAATACACCATTAGATCGTCTCATAATGACGATACTTTTACCTCTTGTTAATTAGCCTAAAACATGACGTACAGATGAAACTGAAGGTATCATGAAGTAAAGCAGTGCACAAAAGTTTGACTTGATGGTGGCACAACCAAACTTATTCCAGTTCATCCTGAGGGGACATGAATGCATCACATTTATTTCCAATCCATTTCATGTTTATTGGGTTACGTCAGTCTGGATCAAAGTGGTCCAGAATCGACTATGGCGGCTTTAAACTAGCTTCAACACGCTCCCTTTCAGGCATTACATTAAGGCAATTTTCCAATTAACAGCTAATCAGGAATTTCCCTAAAACACGGTGACTCATTAGGTGCCTGCTTAAAAACACTATGAGCTTTTGACAGTGATGGATCACATCATTGTTACCATATTAATATCCGAGTCATATAAAAACGCGACAGTGATTTAAGGTATCGCAGGCAAGGCTGATGTTATTATTGTCAGAGGCGCCGTTACTGTCCTTGGGGAAGTATTAATATAAAGTACGACGGGCGATAACAGGTATATGAGGTGTCTTGTTTCATGCATAACCGAGAACACTCCGCTGTGCCGCTCCGACTGTATCAACACATGTCAGGAAATATTGCGTTGAGAATGCTTTAAATGGAGCTAAAGGAGAGGATTTATAACAGCGACGAACCAGGAGAATCGGTCACAGAAGTCGATTCATCATGTGAAGCTGGCGGGGGGTTTACGCTGTAGATAAATCAGAGGAAAAAAGAGCGCAGGGAGAAAATGAGAAAGCACATGCTACTTCTCTGGGATCTCTCTGCTCGGATGAACACGTACTGGTTTCTCCATCTCGCTCGTCGTCGTTTCTGAGAAGCGATTGTGCTCTATTTTGTCATCAGAAAGTTGTCTCACCGGAATAATTTTCAATGAAACGAATCAATCCAAGCCAAAAATAAAACAAACCGGCGACTGTCCCGCCTGTTCCACCTGGAAACATCCAGTTTCAGGTGGAACACGTTGATGAAATATTGGTTTTCCACTATCAACTCATACAAATGACAAATAGGCTGATTAGTCTGGTCGTTTGCAGCCCCACTGCAGAACACACAGCCAATAATTTACTGTAGTAATGGGGCATAATCATTAAACTTTTATAGGGAGGCAGAAAATAAAGCAGCAGGAAAATAAACAGGCGTACAGGAGATGAGGTAGAACAACACAATGAGGCGAAGAGGCGGCATCCTAATGAAACACTGATTATGTCGAGATAACGAGAGGAGAGATGCACCGGGAGGAAAAGCTGAAGCAAAGTGAAACATTTGTGTGAATGTACACGTATACAAGGTGGCAGAGAAGGAACGTTATGAAAGGGGGGAAACAAAACGAGACAGAAAAACGAGGGGAGATGGTTGGATTGGAGCTGCTGATGGCGCTACTTTTGCATTCCTCAGAAGAAAAGTGTGTGCGTGAGCGAGATTTGTCGTCTGTCACCTAATTGGCTTCAAGCTGTGCCAAGGCCATATGCCACGCCGCCGCGCAGGACAGATGAATGAAAAATATGTTAATGCTTCCTGTGAAGATTACAGAGAGCGCCATCAACATGCGCCCACATCAAACAGACAGATGGCCGACGATCAAATCCGAGTTAGATCGGAATAAACGAAGGCGACTTCTAAACTCTCGATAATCTAGAACAGTTTACGCATGAACTGTGCGTTGCTCTGCTTCCTTTTAAGCGTTTACAGATTTTCTGGCCGCAAATTAATTAAAAATTCCTTACATACCACATGGGCTTTTTTAGGAGGGATCTCTAACGTAGCTAATCAGTTAAAATATTTACTTTTAATTAGCTGTGGCCATCTGTAATGACCGCTATGTCCGAGTCAACATTAACCCTCTGAACGCCGAGCGGTTTNAGGCGGGGACAAGCAGCATTATCTGACATGTTGTTAATTTCTGACTTACCTTTAGATGAGTGAACTACTTTTTCATTACACGATGAATTCAACCATGGTCTCCTACTCCTGGCAAGCAGGAGACCAAATAAAATGCACCAGTTCTTTGGGTTTGAACATTGACTGAAACATTTAGAATAATGCAGGTAAACAAGTCAGGAAAGTACATCTCCCTGATCTGGTAGTTTTGAGACATTTTGTTATGGAAATGTTAAATATACCGTCAACAACAGGACTGAGTGCGCTCTGTGCAGTATCATTTAAGTGTCAGATCATTTATACGAAAGAGGATTAGGGCCACTGAAGAAAAAATAAATAAAATTCTGAGAAAAAAGTCAGAATTCTGACAACTTTCCAGAACATTAAAAAAAAATAAAAAATCTCCCGGAATTTTTTTCTTCAGTGGCCCTAATCCTCTTCCGTACATTTAAACTGGTTGATAATCAAAATATTTCTAAGATGACAAGTATTTCTTCTTAATAAACAATCCGAAACACAGACCGTATTAAAAATACAGGCAACAGCATTGAACACGCCTGTGATTTCCAGTTAACCCAACTGCACGAGCCTGGTTTTAAAATGAACAGCCAACATGAGCTTTCTGAGTTTTATGGGCTGTATCTGTCTGCATCACGGCTCCACACGGAGACCAGCTCAAAATGAGATGAAACACAGTTGAGCAGCATTCAGGACTAAACAGGGCCGCAGCAGTTATTTTGCTAAAATGACACGAACGCCTGTGGATATACCGAGATACTGACTGATAAAATGAACGCTGGTTAACACAAGCTTGACAGAAGAGGACAGAAGAGGAATACTCCAGCATAATGGTCCACAGCACAGCATCAAAACTACACATTTCTAAAGAAGAAAACCTGACCAAGTATGTTGCCTGACTGGAATCCAACAGAATAGCTTTAGAGTACATTAAGGAGAAAGGCAAAGCAAAACACCCCCTCCAGCAAATAGCTGCTGAAAAAAATAGTCACTGAAGAAAAACAGACCATCTCTGGAAATGTGGTGTCCTTTATGCTGAGGAGGATTTAGCCTGTCATGAGAAATAAAGCTGCCAAGAGCTGAAATAAAAACGGATTTGAATCTCAGTTTTGTTTCACCGAGTTCCAGCTGTTTGGTCGTATTTAAACTGTTCGGTTTTAATTTTACGTTGGAGCAAACATCCTACTTATCGTCTTAGAAGTAATGCAGTTACTGAGAGGTGATACGATCACTGACATTTAGGTGATATTGCACAAGAGTGAACTCCTGTTGTCCTATGATACCTTCAATAGAAGGTCTGAGTCCATCCAGCTCTGATGTTTTCAGTGCAGATTAGCAGACGTTAGGCAGCGATTACACGAAGCTAAACATTATACCTGCAAAATGTTAGAACGCCGGTTACTCTGAGCAAGCTGCTGCACTGATGTCAGCGTTTCGCCTCAGCACAGCCAGCAGCACAGCATCGACTCATACATGGTGTTACTGAATCTTTGCATATTTTCCAGCTCTACATTAAATTACGTCTAACAAGAGACCACATTCACATTTGATTAAAGTAATGTATGAATCTTCCAGCTTTTCTCTGGTACTGCCCGTACTGTCGCACTTTGAAAGCAACATTTGTTTTGCTTTAATTTAAAATGTATTAAGTTTTATTTTTCATAATTATGCACAGAACATCTGAGACATGCCTTCCTGCTGCAGCACTCTGGCTCGAGTGTGCCCGTCTATTTGTTCATGCTCCCAACTCAATTAATTTATAAGAAAGCTGTGCAGGCAGTATTATAAATTCCATCTGTGCATGCACCATAACGACATATTTGATTAACAAACTACCAGCACTTTATTCTCAGTGTGAGAGCATCAGAGCCTTGTTGTGAACAAAGCGGGAGGATGTGCTACTAAACAGCCTGTTTATTAACACCGTGTTGATGAGCTCTGCCCGTGCTGCTGATTAACTTCAGATTCATGTGCTGTCAACCTGCGGCCTCTGCTGCACAATTAGCAGGATTTCTTTATCACAGCGGCACAGTGATCCAATAATATTGACCACACAGGACAGGCATTACACGGCAACCAATTGCCCTTTAAGTCTGAACGTTGTCATTACGGACGCGTTCTTTAAAAAGTACGGTGAACGTCGGAGGGGCCTCACTGACTTTCCAGCTCAACGTTGGTGGCAGAGGAAGCCCTCGAGGAACCTTTGAATCCAAAAGTCTCTCTTGTAAAAATGTCAGACTGAGCACTTACAGGTATTGATTAAAAGGCAGTGAGTCAGAGGACAGATTAATAAGGACGGAGTCTTCCTTCCTCTGAACTGATCTAATGTCTGCTGCATGTTCAGGCCTGCAGCATCTCCAACGCTCTCTGTGAGACACAAAACTGGAATTTCCCATGAAGAAGAGTTTGCAACGCTCTTTTCATACCTGCATGGACAAACATGAACATGAACACAACATGAGTGTGTGTTAGTGGGACTGTTTCTGACTGAATAGCCGACGGCTGCAGGTCTGTGACATTTTTATGGAATTTCCAAGTTGAGAATATTTTACAAGCATCCATTCTGTTTTGCTAATTATTACAGACAGACCTTCTACTCCAGAGGCATAATTCATGGGCAAAACTTGAAAACACACCCCAACATTGCTGTTTAAAAATGCTCAAAAGGGAACAACGTGCTAGTTTTTAAAAATGTGACTTGTCGTTTCAACCTAAACACCACCAGATGTTGTTTTGATGACATAGTGGATACTGTGCAAATTCTTTTCTTTATTTGGACTCGTGGGTTTATTGAGAGCTTTTGTTGTTTGAACCGATTTTCAGCTTATTATTATTATTGTTATTGTCATTATTATTATTATNACATGATTACTGACAACAATTCTTTCTGTTTCTACAGTTTCTGTCTCTGATAAACGGTTGGGATTCAGATAGTTAAGGACAAAGCCTCTAGTGAACTATGCATCGAGAGCAAATGTACAAGAACAGCAGTTTACCTGCATCACTGAGGTAATGGTGAACATCCTATTTTATTTTCACCTCTCTTCACTTTAAGATGTGCTGACCAGTCGCTGAGCCTCTATGCACACTCTCATATCTGTAAGTGTGAAGCTAGAGACAGCAATCTGTTTGTTTGGTGTGAAAACTGGAAGCAGGGAGGAAACACTGACACACCTGAGTCTGTCCAAACACAATCTGCCTGCCTCTAACGCTCACTAATATACATGCTGTAAAAATGGGTTTTACAGGAAACTATGTGGAGGATGTGAATATTTATTTTGCAGAGTGGACTGTTCATGTTCATTAATATCCAATATGGATGTGCTGCCTGATTGGCCAGTGACTTAGACGTGGAATTAGATTGGTTTGACCGGGAAAAAACATCACAGTAATGCAATCAGAGACAGATCCGGCTGAGTCATGGATTCGTCACCCTGCAAAAAGAAAATTAGAAACTTCCTGGAATCTCCACTGGTTATTCGTAGTCAAGACACAATTTAGCACATCAGCAACTATTAAACGGCACGTTGATGTTTTTACACTTATCAACAAATGATAGCATGCTAACTGGTGAGCTTTGAGGTGACAGTAGGTGGACATTGCTAAATTTAGCCAGAGGTGCGCTAGCTGTTTCCCTATGTTTGTACTATCTATGCTAAGCTAAGCTAACAACCTGCCGCCTGGAGCTTCATACTTTGCATCAAACTCTCAAAAAGGGGAATAAACACGTTCAAGAAAATGTGGAAAGTTTCCTTTAAAACTAACTGGTTCTATTTAGTTCGTTAAAGACCTGCTATAGTAAAAAAAAATCTAGTTTTTCATACGCTGGAGGACACATCACGAGTGAAATAAGAAGTCAATGGTTGAGCAATCCCACCTTGAAACTTCAACGCCAAGTACCAATAATCATTTTAAAAGCACAGATTCAGACTTTTTGGGGTTTCATATGGAACAAACCAGAGAGGAGGGACTGTCTGCATCATTGTTCTTCTTTAGAACCAGCTCATGGTTAGAATATTTGACAACTCTTGACAATTAGTCCAACATTACAGGTCGCTACGGTGTAGTGTAGAGAAGCATTGCAGTGTTGAGTCGCAGGTGAGCTGGTGTGCTCGAGCTGCAGTGAGTGCAGAGCGGATCTGCATATTCCAAAAGAAGCGACACTGTAGAGTTACATCTCGGCCATTTCATACCAGCAAGAGATGCTTCCAATAAAAGAAAACTTACAAATATGCAACTGGTGCGGAGAAGAGTCTTTAGGTGTTAAATCATTGACCAGAGACGGACTCTAATCCCATTATGACTACGTGACCAGTTCGCTACGTGCATACCGTGTACTGGTACGGTTATCTTTAGTTTCATATTTCTCACCTAATTATTAATTTTCTGTTTTCGATCCAACCTTTTGTCTGGTCTGATGTTCAGATTTGTCGGGACGAGGTCACTGGCAGCAGACGGCTTCGATCCAGTAGCATCAAAAGCACACAGTAGAAAAGAAACACACCTGCTGGCTCTGAACACAACAAACTGTTCTGTGGTTAAAGGGGAACTTCATCATTTCTATAATTAAAGGTCAGATACTGACTGTTTTCTCTGAAGGAATGTCTTTGAGTTTGAGAAAACAACTTGGAGACGGTGACAGATGAGTGGCTGAGGACATGGAGCTTGATAGACTTCGCTGTGAGTTATTTTAAATGTAGATCCTGATCCAGAGTTTGTAGAACTTAGGAGTTGAGCTATGTCATCCTCTGTTTGGACATTTTTCTTCTGTCCCCCGGCTACCAGGCCTCACAGGCAATAATGAAATGCTGGACATTACAGCTGCGCTCACATGCAGCTGAGATGTTTAAGCTCCAACCAGAGCTGAGGGACACGCTGCTTACTGACATGTGTTTCTTTAAACTGGTTGAGGCCCAGTTTGGCTTTAGCATCCAGTGGTGTCATAATATGGAAAGAATGAATTTTTCCATAGCTTGTCACATTTAATACACTCAAATAATTTGTTCCATAGGAAGTAAAAATAACAACTTCAGTCGGGCTGCAGCTGCCTCGACAGTTTTTTCCAAATTAAACATCTGAAAAAAACTGAGATCAGCTGCACCTGTGAAAGAAGCATTCAGATCCTTTAACATTACAAAGACCTGCATTTGAACTCCTTTTTGTGTGAAAAATAAACAAGCATTATTAGCAACTACACCTTAAATGTGGTAAACAATTAATACATTATTTGTGCATGAATTAATCTGCATTAATCTGCATTAATTATGCAGAATGTAACTATTTTAATACACTTAATCTTGCAGTTTTAATTACTTTGTTTACAGTTAGTCATTTGATATATTAGACTTCATCAGATTTATTTTCGATAATCTCATATTTTCTATCCCAAATTCTAATCTGCTCAGTTTAGCTGCCAGTCAAATAAGTACCAAGTGAAATATTTCTCTCTTAAATGTGAAGTGGAAACATGAAACTCCACCTAAAAGCTCTTCTGGGATGCAGTCCTTCAGTAAATGTGCTGTTGGGGTGTCATCCAGTGAAGAGGATTAAAAGCATCTGTTTCTCCACAGTCACATTTCCTACCGCAGCCTGGACCATTAATATGTTCAGCCATTATGATTATTGCAGGAAATGACACTGACTAGAATAAGCCATAAGCAGAAAAAAGGCACACCCTGTATGGCCTGCTGAATTAAAAGTAATGAAGCTCTGTTATGCAATAAAGCTCCACACATCAGCTCCCTGGAACAACCCGCTCACAGCAGAGCCCTGGCCTGTGAATGTGAACCAACACACAAACCACACTGCTCTTTATAAAGAATACCCTGGTCTCTTTACGCTTTACTTGCCATTGAGGGTTTACCATTCAGGCCAGACTCCATGAAAAAAACTCACAATTTTCTAATCTGAATCCTGCAGAATGAGATTTCAACGTGTCTACTTGTGTGTTATATTTGTGTGTTCTTTATGTCTCTTTCGGCCCAATAGCTGCCTCTCTTCTGCCCCACATGAGTTCTGGAGCTGAAGTTATCAACTCACCTGTGGCAGGTACAGACATCTGCATGTGGCTCCGCTGCACCGTCGCCCAGAGAAAAACGCAACGAAGCAAAAAGCTCTTCATCCTTCCCAGGCAGCATTAAAAAAAACCACGGGTTTGATTAGAAACACGAGCAGGTGAAATGACCCGCAGCGGATCGTGGCGCACAGCTTCCCATCGCTCAGCTCACAAACGTCCCAAACGGTGCAGTTTTGACGCAGCTCTGCGGCTGCGCTTCACTCCGCTGCTAACTTCACTTCAGCCAAACACCTGCGTCATGCTGCTCCTCATCCAGCACGGCGGGGTTTGCGCCGTGGACTTGTTTCCTTTACGGAATCAGTACTTTTTTACCCAGTTCACGACTGCACAGTTCACTTTTCTGTTGTGGATTACTCCTCCTCCAGCTGCACAGCCAGGAAATGAAGCCATGGTCACGTCTTTTCTTTCTTTCCTTTCCTTTTTCTTTAAATGAACTTTGGTCTTTGATTTATCCATAAGGACAGATGCTTTCTGATGCTTGCATGCCTCCACCTGCCCTGTAATTCCCCCAGTCCAGAGGTCGTCCCATTCCACATATGACCATTCAGCACTTATTGTGAAATTCAGCATGTGTCCCAGAAGCTCTCATCATAGCTGCAAGCAAAAGATGATCTCATTTGTTTTCGCTGCACATTATGATGTGCCGGAGGATTTGATCTCCATTTTCTGTGGGAACACCCTTGAACTTGAACCCCCTCCCAAAGCTGACCCCAGAACTGAACCCCACTTTGGGAGACAGAAAGGGAGCAAGACACCCGAGTGGATCAAGAGGCAGCAAAGAAAACCATTCAGCTGGTCCATTAGGCAGGATTACAGTAAATACCACAGCTGACACTCTGAGAAAGATGACTTGGATCAAGTGCAGGCTATTCATACTTATCACTGCACAATAGGACCCACGTTCCTGCCTCCACTCTGTGTGTGTGTGTGTGTGTGTGTGTGTGTGTGTGCGCGACCAAATAGAGATAAAAGGCTGAATAAATGGATGGCACCGGCTGAATGTGGCCTCTTGAGATGAGAGTGCCCTGCATCTGCCCGCTGCCAAGCTGGATCTTCGGTTAAATAATGTGGATATTTAAATGTGTGCATTCATTTTGTGCCTCCGAGTGTAATTCAGGGTCGGGTGGCGACAGATGGGAGAATGATGGTGTTTTAAAAAGGACATAGAGGACATTATACAAAATGCTTTTACCTACATACCAAGCTGGT